CTCATGAACGTTGCAGAAAACCTTTGCTATGTCTAGACACTTAGAAAATCTACAAACCAATTCATGACAGTCTTCTTTCATACCTACTTCCAACATATTATTGACTGTGGATAGTTTAAATAATCTTATTGTTTAGGAAGTCAAAACATGCAAAGTGAAACAATAGTAAATAATTAACATAGAACAGTAACTTTACTTATAAATAAAACTCCTTTATTTAATCATCAAATGTTAATTACAATTTATCTATTACCAGTTTCTAAAGCTATCTAATCACTAAAAATAATATCGTCGTTCAGCCCAATGCTCCTAGCGTGTTGCAGGTGCTTAACCCTACTCAGTCCCTTCGTAAGGGGATCTGATGGGTTCTCTTCAGACTATACCCTCTTTACTACGAGGAGTCCTTCTTCTACCCGATGTCTAAAAAATGATATTTTATGTCAATATGCCTGTACCTGCCATGATCCCTCGGTTCCTTGGTTAAGGCACCCGCACCTTCGTTATGGCAGAAAATCTCCATTGACTCCTTTATGGCCGGTACAACTCCAAGGTCTCCGATGAAGTTCTTTAGCCATATTGCCTCCTTTTACGCTTCGATCGTTGCTATATGCTCTGATTCGCACGTTGAATCAGCTATGGTTTCCTACTTGGAACTTTTCCATATCATTGCTCCTCCATTCAGGGTAAAGACCCAGCCCGACAGCGAGCGGAAATTATCCCGGTCAGTCTGAAAACTAGCATCACTATATCGTCGCACTCTCAAGTCATCACTCCCATCGAGGATAAAAAACCATTCCTTAGTCCTCCAAAGGTACTTAAGAATATTCTTTATTGTGCTCCAATGTGCTTTACCAGGGTTCCCTTCATATATGATGACCATGCTCAAAGCGAAGGCCATATCAGGGCGAGTACATGTCATAGCATACATGATAGAGCCAACTGCGGAAGCATAAGGTACTCTGCTATCTCGGCATCGGTACTCGGACTTTGAGTCTTACTTAACTTGGTATTGCTTTGAATTGGTAACTCCCCTTTCTTGGAATTTTCCATGCTGAAACATTTCAACACTTTATCCAAGTAATTACTTTGACTAAGTCCTATTACTCTCTTACTCCTATTTCTCAAAATCCTTATCCCTAGAATATAATTAACTTCTATGAGGTCCTTCATAGCAAAGCACTTCCCAAGTCAGAAATTAACCTCCTGCAGGGTTGAGACGTCATTTCCTATGAGTAGTATGTCGTCCCCATACAATACGAGAAAGCTAACTATACTCCCACTGGTTTTGACATATACACATGACTCATCCTTGCTTCTCAAAAAACCAAACTCTGTGACTTTCTCATCGAAAAAAGGTTCCATCTGCGAGATGCTTGTTTCAATCCATAAATGGATTTCTCAAGCTTACACACTCTATTAGGGTGCTCTACATTGACAAAACCCTCTGGTTGACTCATGTAAATATATTTAGCTAACTTACTATTAAGGAAAGCATTTTTGACACCCATCTACCATATTTCATTGTCATGAAATGTACCTATGACTAGCATCACCCTTATAGATTTAATCTTCACAACTGATGAGAAGGTCTCATCATAATCAACTCTGGGAGTTTGAGTAAAGCCCTTCACAACCAATTGCACCTTATACGTGTGTACTTTCCCATCCATGTCGGTCTTCTTCTTAAGGATCGACTTGCACGTGACCTTATTACGACCTCAAACATTGTCAACCAATTTACAAACTTTATTTTCATACATGGACTGAATCTTAGTGTCCATAGCCTCTTTCCATTTTGTAGACTCCGGGCTTACCATGGCTTCCTTATAGGTGTTAGGTTCATCTAATTTTGCTAGTGTACAATCACTAATAAATATATCACCCTTAGTAGTTAGATGGAAACCATATAATATGGGTGGAATACTAACTCTATTGGAACGTCTAAGAGGTAGGGATTCATCAATCGGTTCAACAGGAGTTTCCTCCTCAGGTTGAGCGCCAGTGTTAGAGGTTCCTTTATCGTTTGACTCTTGAAGCTATTCAAGATCAATTTTCCTCCTATTGTCCTCTTGGCTTATGAGTTCTCGCACTTGGAAAACCCCTCTCTTTGTAACGAAGACATAATTGGCACTCGGCCTATAGAAGTGATATCCAAAGGACTTCTGCGGATAGCCGATGAAAATACACCACTTAATTTGAGGCTCGAGCTATTTGTGAGTCTCTCATCCTATGAAAGACTCACAACCCCAAACCTTGATATGTGCCAACAAGGGAGCTTTCCTTGTCCACATCTCGTGAGGTGTTTAGGAAACCTTCTTAGTCGGGACTAGATTAAGGATATGGGCGGCAGTCTCTAAGGCATACCCCCAAAAGGAGATAGGTAATGAAGCACGAATCGTCATTGAACGAACCATGTCCAACAAGGTTCGATTGCGCCTCTCAGCCACACCGTTTAACTGCAGTGTCCTAGTTGGCGTCAATTGCGAAACAATTCTGCATTCCTGGAGATAGTCGTGGAATTTAATACTAAGGTAACCACTTCCTCGATTGGATCATAGCATCTTATTTTCCTGCCTAGCTGATTCTCCACTTCTTGCTTAAACTCTTTGAATTTTTCAAAGGTTTCTGACTTGTATTTGATTAAGTAGATATACCATATCTACTATAATCATCGGTGAAAGTCACATAGAATCGGTTTGCATCCCTTATGGTAGATCTAAAAGGCCCACATACATTGGTATGTATGAGATCCAATAAACCTTCACCCCTTTCACTAGTACCAATGAAGGGTGACTTGGTAATATTTTCAAGTAAACAAGACTCACATGTGCCATTGTCCCTAAGGTCGAATGTCTCCAACACTCCATCCATTTGGAGTTGGGCTATACACTTCTTGTTGACATGTCCAAGACGGAAATGCCACAAGCATGCTTTATCCACACTATTGGAAGAATTTATCTGCATCACATCATTTCCTAAGTTGTCTACAACCATAACAGTTTCATATATACCATTACAAGGCAATGCTTCAAAATCGAAAGTACCATTAAAGAAAGCATTAATAGAACCATTTTCATTATTAAACAAAAATCTAAAACCTTGTTTATACAAACCATGAAAAGAAATAATGTTTCGTGTCATTTCTGACGAATAGCAACAATTATTCAAATAGAGACCAAACCCACTACTAAGCACTAAAGACTAAACTCCAATCTTTGTGACAGGCGACACTTTCCTATTCCCCATGATCAAATTTATCTTCCCATGCTCCACATCCCTACTTCTTGATAGACCCTACAAATCAGAACAAATGTGAAAACTACATCCTGTATCGAGGACCCAAGACATAGCATGTGATGAGTTATTAGATTGAATAGTATAAATGCCTGCGAAGGATGGCTTTATCTTACCATCCTTGATATCTTGCAGATACATCGGGCAACTACGTTTCTAATGCCCTTTTTCATGGAAGTAGAAGCACTCTACGTCCTTCGGGTTGGAAGAGGGAGCAGCATGACCAACTTTGGTTCTACTTGAAGAGGTACCACCGTGAGACTTTCCCTTGTGGTTCTTAGAAGGAGCCTTCCTCTTCTTTCCTTTTCCTTGCCTAATAGCCAAAACAGGGGCAATAGTAGTAGGAGTAGATGTAATAGATTTGCATTTTAGACTACTCTCAACAGTCCTTAGCAGGCCTTGAAGCTTGCTTAGAGTGACTTCCTCCTTGTTCATATGGTAGGTCATACGAAACTGCTCGTAGCAAGGAGGTAAGGAGTGTAGAATGATATCTATGGGCAGCTCCTCATCGAAGTTGACATTCAACTTCAGCAAGCGGTCCACGTATCTCTACATATTCTGCAAATGGGTCGTAATGGACTCTGCATCCTTCATTTTAGTAGTGATCATCGCAATGATGATCTCATACCATTCCTGCCTAGCACTTTGATGGTACCTTTCCATCAAATCTTGGTGCATCTCGTAGGGGTAGTAGTCCTCGTAGGACTTTTAGAGTTCAGCGGTCGTTGTTGCGAGCATGGTGCAATAAACCTTCGTAGCATCTTGCTCCTGGGGTTTCGTAAGCAACAATTTGTTCGGGAGTAGCAGTGTTGACATTGACTTCTTTCATCTCCTTGTCGAGAACATACTCCTTGTCCTCATAACGGGTAACCATGCGGATATTGTGGATCCAGTCATTGAAATTGGACCCATCAAATATCACCCTCCGAAACAAGTTCATGAGTGAGAATGAAACGAAAGAACTACAAGAAAAATAGCCTTTAATGACGCGCAAACAATGACACTCACTGATTCATGTTACCCATTTTTGGGCGTCCGTAAAAATAATGTCAAACTTCCAAAATTTGAAGGATAGTGGACACGTATTTTTGCGTGCCCTTAAATTAGTGTCTCGAGAAAAAAAATTAAAAACACGGAGGGCGCTTTATCTTAAACGTGCGTCTTCTGTAGTTGTCGCTTTATAATTTTAAGGAAACGCGCCTTGAGAAGATAACGTGGGAAACGAAACCGTAAATTTTTGAAAACCCACCTTTCTTTTCTACCTTCTTTTCTTTATCTTCACAATCGACTCTCCCTTTTTGTTTCTCTATTTCGATGGTTGTTTCCCTCTTGCCCTAATCACGTCGTCGCCGCGAATCAAACACCGCCAGGCAGTGGAAGAAGATGATGAAGTTTGTCGTTGTCGTATGTCGCCCTCCCTCGTTGTCTCTAACTATCTCTGCCCTTTCTTTATTCTTCGCTTCTATGATCTTAGCCTCCTATTCACCCCTCTAAATCCTTACTTGTGAGTCCACACCATGCTTGTTTTTATCTTGTTATGGAAAATCAAGAAACATTCGAAAAACCTTAGGGTTTCGCTGTGAGGCCTCGTTTCTTCTTATCAGTATCGGATTTCTTCTTGGCTGAGGGGCCCGATTGACGAGACCTGTGAGAATTCTGAGATCGATCATTGCTCCCTGTGTGATTATGTGAGGATACAGAGATTAATGGTTGCGATAGGGTTTAGCAAACCTCCTTATATCTTCTCTACCAGGTATAATAAATATTGGGTCAAATCTCTAGCTCTGTATTCTCTCTACCTCTGCATTCTCTCTCTCTCTCTCTCTCTCTCTCTCTCTCTCTGGAAAATCCTAATCACCCTTCTGGTTTTCTGAACCAGGAAAAAGCGTGGTTTTTGTATTTGTAAACCCGATATAGAGATTTTTGGGTCCGAATTTTAGGGATTATCATAAATCCCCCTAAATCCAACCATTACACTTGTTCATTCATTCCCCATAAATCCCTTCATCTTGATTACGATGTACAAACCCCCTAAATCCCCCAGTAAGAGTATCTACCATGGATGCTCTATGCCAACCTAATCTCGATCTTAGTAATTCTTCATCCCTTTCATCAATTTACACCAAAACCCCTCAAACACCAACCTCTTCAACTTTTCCCTATAAGTACTGATTATCTTCTTCCAGTTTCAATGGTTACCATAGCAAGTGTAAAGTACCAACACCACCTCAAGCTTTACCCAAGGAAAATTCGAATGAATCAGTTGAATCCAATAAGAAATTGATTGATTCAATATCTAAAGGTTTGATCAGGCTCGCTGCTGCAGTCTCTGTTTGTTTAGATTCTCCAGCTCTTGTCGAGTCCTTGACAATAGCATTCCCAACTTCTCATACTCATGAGGTAGGTGTTCAGTTCGATCATCTTTTTTAGTAGTTTGTTTGGGTTGTGCAGATAAGGTGTTCAATCTATTGCTTATATGGGTTTGGTAAAATTTGATTTCATAACAGGTGAATGTTGTGCAGTGAACTCTCGTAGAGACTTGGGGTTTGATCCGAGAGACTTTTGTTGATCCAACTTTTAATCATCAAGGTACGATTCATTTCTGTTGTTTTATGTCATTTAGTGTCAATAAGTTTAACGTAAGTTTATGTGTTTTCTGTAGACTGTGACTCGAAATTCCAACAAACAATGGTGGAATGCATCCACTTAGAACAGCTGATGCCGCATACAGCAAGATTAAAGGAATGCTTTCTACTCTTGGAGATCACTTCACTCGCATTATCAGTCCAAAGGTGCAACTTTTCCCATTACTTTTACAAAAATTGTCCCTGTGGTTTCTAAAAGAGTTTTCAGTTTTGGACTAAAATTCAGAAACAACAGGAACCATTTTTGTAACTTATTCTTACTCCTAGATTCCAAAAGGGGGAACGTACTCTATTTTCTTTTCGACAATGATTTGTACAGGAATAACAAAGTTTTAGAATTGGAAGTGATGGAAACGTACAAGGAGTTGGACTATTTGTGAATACTGAACCCGAAACCGGTCATCTGGTTTGTGATGCTGAGACTTGAACCAGAGACCTCAGTTATGGATTCTTATTTATTTTTTATTTTTAAAAATTTTAAAATTTTTTGTTTCAGGTTTTATTGTCCTGTGTTGAGGGTAGCCCAACTACTAGAGCTGGAATACATGTAGGAGATGAGTTGATTGAAATAAATGGAGAGAGAGTTTAAAGGATTAGTGGTGAAGCTGCTGCACAAAAGCTTAGATGTTATGTTGGGACAAGTGTTACAGTCAAAGTGCACAATGTAAGTTTCTTACATTTAAGTTTGGTAGGAAGGAATGGAATGGTTGATTCCTTTCCAAAGGGTTTTATAGAAATTTGTGCATGTTCATATTTCTGATCTACATGGAAAAAAGTTGGCCATTGACTCTAGTTTTAGAGAGGTGAAACTACCCCGGGAATTCATCAGACTTTCTCCTATATTAAGTGTCATCATTCCTCATAGAACACCAAATGGTCATGTATCCAAAACCGGATATGTAAAGCTATTAGCCTTCTCCCGGGTGCTTATTAATTCTCTAAATCTTAGTCTTACTTTATAACTTCATATCTTAAATTCATCTAACAACAAGCTTTTGTAAACAGAGTGATGCTACAGATATGAAACACGCCATTCATGAATTTGAAAATCAGGGTGTTGAATCTTACATTTTGGATCTATGAAACAATCCAGTAAGTAGCCTAAAGTTGACTTTAGTAAACTTTTGTTTGACTATTTACTAGTATTTAGATATATATGTTTATTTATAGGGTGGTTTGGTGAAGGCTGGACTTGATGTTGCTCAAATATGCCTGGATGGAGATGAGACTTTAGTGAACACAATAGATCGAGATGGGAACATGCTTCTTGTTAACATGATCAATGGCCATGCTCTTACTCGTGATCCGCTAGTTGTTCTAGTAAGTTTTTTTTTTTGACATGAAAATCTATATATTCACCTTCTGTTACATCTTTTGCTAGTGCTGCCATGGCAGTGAGACAACGGCCACATCAGAAGAAGTATAAGCTGAGAACTGGCTGTGTTAATGTGTCCCATTTTCATAAACCTGGTAACAGGGTGCACACAAAGGCTACAACTCAAGAAACATGTAACACTTGGCGAAAAAGGTGTTGTTTTATCCCCCCCCCTTTTTTTTTTTGATATTTTACATTTGTATAAACCTAATATGGTTTTGATTTCTGAAATAAATTGATTTGTGCAGGGGAAACGAGGTTTATAAGAGTGGAGATTTATCAGAAGCTGAAGTATGTTATTCAAAGGGTATTAGTTCAATACAACATACAAAGACACCTGGCGTTTGTAGACAGCCTCTTATTTTATGTTATAGCAATCGTGCAACTATACGCATGGCTCTTGGAAGAATGAGGGAAAATGTCTAAACGACTGTAGAATGGCTGCTACATTAGATCCCAATTTCATGAAGGTCAATAAGCTCCTATTCAGAGAAACTACTTAATATGAAAGGAGAGGCTCTTCTCATGGTATGTGAATGTGATTCATAATCTTTGTTAGTTTAATAATTGAAATTGACTGATTTGCCCCTACTTATTACACAGCTGGGGAAGCATAAAGAGGTGGTTCAACTGTGTGAGCAAACCCTAGATACATCGGGTACTCAAAATTCTACCAATTTTTTTAACTACTTTCCCTTTTGCTTTTGAGTTTTAACCTCTTAATATTATATGATATTTATAAATCAGGGAGGGGAACTTCAGTGGTGAAGATAATGTTAGGGTTACCACCATGAACAAGCATGGGAAGCATGATTTGGATATTCCAGTCATTGTCAACCCAAGAAATGATTGGATTATTCAAATTATCCACAGTCGATCATACTTTGGAGGTAAGTAATGAGGCAAGACTGTCATGAATTGGATTGAAGATTGTCTAAGTGCTTAGACATTGCAAAGGTTTGCTGCAACGTTCATGAGTACTCCTGAAATAGGATTTGAGTATTGGATTAAACCCACGCTCATTTGAATCACTTCATGGAATTTATCATGAGTGATTGTGAGATGATAATATCGTATAATCTTTAAATCGAGATATGTTAGCTGTTGTTTACAAGTTGACTGTGAATTCATAATGCGTAAACGCATCAATAACTTGATGCTATAAAAAAATGTATTGTTGTGTACGATTTGATAAGTAAATAGTACAAGAATATAAGTCAAAGTTTATCAGCTCCTTTTTCCCTAACAGGAAAAGCGATATCTTGGGCCCCTCGATGATTTTGTGTTCACTTATGTGGCATGGTCGTTTTAGGTTGTCTTCACCATAACAACTTGACAGGATGACTTTTGGAGAGAGAGGTTAATAAATGATTTATTAATATATTATAAGAATAATATATTAATTAGAAATCATATTATTTAATTACTATTTAATCAAAAATTAATTTGATATTAATTTTGGGATTAAAAGTACTAATTAAAATGTAACGGGACTGGTTATAATCATTGATAGTTGCAAACTGGACTGGTGGACTACCTTGGAATGGGTTGAATGAAATATATAGGAGGCCCTATATAAATTATCCAAGGCGTTCTAGAAGGAAGTTCATGGGCTACTTGGACCCTAAGTAAGGAATTAGTGTTTTCCCTGGAAACCCTAGCAGCCACAAGTATATAAACGCCCCTAGACCTCATGAAATCGGCCACTGCTTCACAAGGAGAAACCCTAGCCGATTTATGCCCCTCTTTCACTCATCCTTTTCTCTTAGTGTTTGTGATTCCATTAAAAATGTAACACATGAGGCACTCAAGCTTTCAAGAGTCAAGATCATTCATGAATTACTTGTTATTACGAGATAACTAGAAAGGTAACAATCAAACCCTAGTTTTCATATTGATTTCTAAAATTGTATGCTAGTATTAGGGTTATTGCTTTGGAACATCTATTTTCATGTATAACTAGAGAAAAACTTATATCCAAAGCAATTAGGGTTGCATGAACACATAGGAATGGTGTTATGCTCAAAACCCATCAGGAATGACATGCGAGTGAGGAGGTAAAGGTGATGTTCGATGGATCAGTATCAATGAGTCTATAAGGTCGAGGCTGGTGTGTCTTTGTTTTGGTGACGATGGGTGTGCCAACCGACCATTATGTTCCCGACGAGAGATCAAATTTGGCTTCCTCACCTAGGTATTGAGAGTATCGTCAAAGATGGATATTCTTTTGATTTCCAACGAGACGTATATACTTCTTTCTGTTTATTCCAAACAATACAAGAATGCTTTTTTCAATGACAATCTCTTTCCACCAGTTTGAGCTACACTATGTTCTGGGTCACATGTTGATTCAATCAAGATCATGTGGTTTTATAGATCCAATGAATCAAGTCAAGGTTCTGTTGGTTATCATGAATCTTAAAGGCATTTCAGTGAGCAAGTTGCAAGGTGAGTTGATGGGGTTTGAATAAAGTCAAGGGTTTGTTGGTTATCATGAGGTTGTTTTCCAGCAAGCCAGTGTACACCAGTCTAGTTTTCTACAAACTATAAACATGACTTTAGGTGTAAGTATGGTTTTGGGTATAAATGTGATCTTGGATGTATACGTGAGAGAGAGAGAGAGAGAGAGAGAGAGAGAGAGAGAGAATGGAGCATGGCTGCCTTATCCAGGTACCTTATTTTACTAGGATGTAAATAAAATCTCTTTTTGATTTTGAAGCGTACAAATCATATAATCAATTGAAAATTTGAATTGGGCTTACTGTAACGTCCCAAAAATACTAAATATTTTTTTTAATTTTAAGTCAACCAAAACAACCATTCATTCACTGCAAAAAAATGTCATAAAATGTGGTACACTACTTGATGCGACGCAATCACGTCGAGTTCCTGCCCTTGGAACTGAAAGTACCTCAAACAAAAACATAAACTATAAGCACAAATATTAGTGAGTTCTCTAAAATACAACATACCATACATGTATCGGGCCGCACCCAGTATTTCTCAGACCCCGCCCGACATCAGGTCTCGACCGGTATTACATATGGGCCCCACTCGGCATATATATATATATATATATATATATATATATATATATATATATGTATATATATATATATAAACACATGAAAGAGTCATAAAGACAGCTAGCATCCTACATACATAATCCATTTGGGCTGGCATTGGTGCCTTCAACCCACAAATATAGTGAACGGACCCACTTCTCATACGATGATCAACTTCTACTACTCTCACTATCGAAATATAGGATTTATACCCCACGTAGACAATCATACAATTTCATCCCTTAGTCTACCATCCAAAAAAAATAAGAGTTTATCAAAAGTCAACTCATGTTAAAGAGTCAATTACCAAAGACATTTTGACCCCACATCGTGGCCATCCTTGACCTTGTTGGCCCACAGGTCGATACGTAATCTAGATCAAAGTTAATGAAGTCAAAATGGAAACATCACCACTCCATGTCGAGGCGTTCCTTTGGCCATGCCTTGGTCACAAAACGAAAAAATAGTCAACTAATAACTAGTCTCCATGCCGAGGCAGCCTAGTTTCATGTCGTGGGGACCAGTCTGAATGACTTATTCATGCGAAACTGCTTTTAACTAATTTTCAATGGCTCAAAAATCTAGATCTACTTTTTCCCAATGCCTTGATGGATAAAAGTTTCCAGCTTTCTTCATTAAGACACTCCATAAATACAAGATCTCAAACCTAGGTTCTAAAGGCTATCAAGAAGTACAACTCAAACATTATGTGCTTCATCAAAAAAGACACAAGTTCAAACTTTCCAGAAGGGTTTTCCTTTACCCCGACAGCCATAAAGTTATCTGATTTTTGGACATACATGCACAATGCATGTCTCCTCCATTTTAGGTCAACAAGAGTGATAAAGGAGCTTCAAATTCATGCATAGGATAACATACACCAATAAACATTAGATCTACAACATGTAATCTCAAAGGGAACTCTAGGACCCATAAAGTTTCCAACTTAATGGAATCCTACCATTCTAACTAGCCCATAACGTCACCAATTTGATCCTTGAATAATTTCCAAAAGATTTTACTACATCACTACTATCCACAATGATAGAACTCCAAAATTCCGACTTGTGATTACAACCTATATCAATGAGAAAGCCAAACATAAACCTTCTCAACTCAAAACATTAAAAAATGATACCAATTTAACACCTTCAAGAAATCCCATTAGTTGAAGCGATTAATGCGAATATGTATCATCCATACCCCCAAAGTTGATTGATCACCATAGCCGTCACCCTACTAACGATAACGATCAACTGAACGAGCTAACCAACCTTACGTCAAGCATCTAACATGAGCCTCACCATCACCTATACACTCAATCTACGTTGTCACAGAAGGGACAACCAGCTACTACGAGATCTTCACCTAATAGCTTCCAATGCAAGGATTACACGCACACCACTAAAAGCATGAATCTGATAGTATCTCACCTTGAACATGCGTAAGGACTAATGCCTTATACTTCACAACCATGAAGGATTTTTTTAATCTTGAATACCAAAAGTTTAGTAAAGTTACACTGTAACTTCCTCGAACCATCAAAATTAATCTGATTGGTAATCCTTTCAAGCAAAACTCTTAGTTTTCCTCCACTTGGAGCTTACTCTACCATTAGCCAACATCTCCCACGTCGAAGTCTGAAACTGATTCATCCAAATACGCTCCAAACATGAACCTCAGTATGAAAAAGTGGCATATGATAATCCTTCAAATGATAATAACCAAACAATAATAAAGAAATCATGGACCTTAGGTGGAGGCTTAATCACCCCGAACATTACGCCTCTCACACATAATCAGATAATCATGAGTAATAAAAGGAAACTTCAGCGAGAGCTAGACCCAACCTCAACTGACGAGCCCCTCACAAAGAAAACAAAAACCAAGACTCCCTCACTCTCGTCCTCACCATGCTTCCATGCTTGACAAGCAACTGAAGTGAAGCTCATAGTTAACCAAATGTCTACCATTTCCATCCATCATAGTCAATCTCGTATAATTTTCATACTTTCTTTTTGTAAGATCTTTCCATCAGGAATATTACTCAAATGGGGTTAAAGTAGTCTTTAAGGTTAATGAGGGTAGTAATTGGTGTTAGGAATCATTTGTCCATACAAATGTATCAAGTTGCAGGTCCATCCATGGAAGAAATCTTCTTCTTGTCACTGTGTTTTATTTTGTTGTTGAAGAAGGCACATTCGAAATTTAAGTTTTTATCAATTTTAACCCCTCCATTCTTATATGCTAACAATGTACACCCTAAGTCCAACTTATCTTACATATTTGATTTCTAGAGATTACCATTTAAACCCTGGACTTATATAGTCAAATTATGATTTTTCATTATTATTATTATTATTATTATTATTATTATTATTATTATTATTATTATTATTATTATTATTATTATAACAACTTTACATCTATATATTGCCCTTTTATTTAATTGATTCACTTACAATTCCCACAAATTTAGCTTTTATTTATATAATTGTTCGATTTATTGATTAACCCTATTTAGAAATCGATAACAGGAATGGACGTTACACATTTGGTGCCCTAAAATAACAAAACTACAAAAAAATGTTATCCTTTCTTCATACAAAATTTCATACCTTAATTGCTTTCTAGATGTTAGTTCCATCCTCTGCCAACAGCTAGTCCTTCAATTTGTCATCATTTTGAAGAAAATAGAATTCGGGAACAAGATATTGCAATCACCTTAC